TGTAAATGCAGACATTTTCCCACAGTATAGCTAGTTTGAGGAATTCATGTCTCAGCCTTATCTACTTTATTTTGTAAAACGTTAGTCCTTTCTGTGTAAGGATGTTAATCATTTCTTTGAACCTGATATTATTTTGATCAGGACACCAAATTAGAAAACTCAATTAACTAAATGAAATATGTGCAGTACGTAAATACACACGACATACATAATTACGATATAAACGAACTATAATAGGACACAATGGGACAATATCTGATAACGGATCTAAAGGGAACTCTGTAAATGCAGACATTTTCCAACAGTATAGCTAGTTCGAGGAATTCATTTTTCAGCCTTATCTACTTTATTTTGTAAAACGTTAGTCCTTTCTGTGTAAGGATGTTAATCATTTCTTTGAACCTGATATTAGACACCAAATTAGAAAACTCAATGAACTAAATGAAATATGTGCAGTACGTAAATACACACGACATACATAATCACGATATAAACGAACTATAATAGGACACGGATCTAAAGGAAATTCTGTAAATGCAGACATTTTCCCACAGTACAGCTAGTTCGAGGAATTCAATTCTCAGCCTTATCTACTTTATTCTGCAAGGCGTTAGTTCTTTCTTTGAACCTGATATTATTTTGATCAGGACCCCAAATTAGAAAACTCAATGAACTAATGAAGTTTTTTTTTTTGCGTAAATATGTCATCTCACCTATGAAATATAGATAGAATTTCTTTAAATAATCTTTCTAACACCAAAACCAAATATATCAAAAATTAATCAACACGTAACAATAACTTACGCATTTTTGTTACCACGTAACAATAACTCATTTTTGTTAACACGTAATGATATCCTATATTATAGTGTGCTGAATTTATTGTCTATATAATTGCATAATCTGAGACACAAGTTTTTTTTTGCAACTAGAAATTTAACAATTTTGAAAAGAGATTTATGGATAAAAATTTTGAATTTCCTTCTATAATTTTGGTCGGAAGAGAAGGCATGTTAGCTAAACTATTCAAGAGTATATTCTATATTATTATTAATTTTATATAATTTTGTTAGGTGTAGGAAAAAGTACTGTCGGGAATATGCTATTAAAAACATGCGGAAATCATAACGAATTATTTGAAAAGTATGAGGGCCCTATGACGGACATGGTGGAGATGTATTTATTTACTTGTTTAATTATTAATTAATCAATTTTTAACATTTTTTGTTGTTATGACTGTATGCTATTAATTTTTGCTATAATGATGTACTTTTTTTTCTCCAAACATTACCTTATGTATCTCAATCAAATTTTTAGGGACGTAATCAGCAGCAACTAAAAACTGCCAAACTTTCTATAGGTGAAGAAAATTTTATCTTAGTGGATACA